TTTCTACTTTTTTTTTTTTTTTTTTTTTTTTTTTTTTTTAGAAAAGTATACTCTTGTATACGTCCAGAATAATTTTAACCTAACTATAAAAGAGCTAGAAAAAAAAAGAAACTCAAAATATATAACACAGAAGGTTCCCCAACCGTCTTAAAAAATACTATTCGAAACTTGCTGCAACGTGCACTGGTAACATTAGATGCAACTGTGCATTTATTACTCTTGTTACCCAATTTGCATCTTTTGAAACTTCCCTTAATCGCTAGTCCAGTAATCTAAATTGCCCCACAAAACTCATAAGACCGACAAAGCTCTTATAGCGTCGTTAACTTGAGTATAATTTTTTAAAGCACATTTCAGTTCATCAAGAATACATTCACTTACGATACATTTCGAATTGGTTCCTCATGAAACAAAGAAAACTGACTACCATCCATGCGTACAACAGACGAAGTCCTAAAAATATTATTTTCTACCTTACTTTAAAAGACAGTGCAAAAGATTGTTACATACAATGCAAACAAGAACTTGAGCTCTGCGAAACCAGAACTTAATTACGAAGCAATAACCTTCGATTGACTTACTGCACGACAAACAAGTAATACGCTTCAATTATACACAGCGAAACATAACCAGTAACTTTTTCACCACGCCACTGCAAATGCTCCACATCTGGAAACAATTAGCAAACTTCAAACCAAAAGTGCTTATCTACAAGTGAAACTAACGCAGGTGTACCCCGTAAACGATACTCAAATAATTTCTTAAGCCTCATTATCAATAATAATAGATGACAACCACTTCTTATTTCTGAAAAGTCTCGCTGTATTTCCGTCACAACACTAATCGACCAAGATGGAAGTTGTAGGCACGACCGACGTTACGAAACACGCATCAGAGAATTAAAAACCAAAAAAAAAGTCTGAAAAATTAGTCTTTACCAGAAAACTCATGTCCAAAGAAAACACTTCGTCAAGTGCTACCCTTCAGCAAACAAGTTTCACAAACGTTTCCCGAAGTTACATGCTGACAACACTTCAGCAGATACATCCACAAAACGCTTCTACCAAAACCCAATATATACTATCCAAATCTGCTTACAGTAGTTTAGCATAACAGAACCAACCTTTATAATAACGGAACGACTTCAAAACAGCTCTGAAAATTCACAATCGGAAATTGTAAACCACATTATTAAAGCCTCTTCTGCCTGTCTCCTAATCCCACACTTTAAATGAAGTGCAATTAGAAGAGCGGCCGTGAGATCCTCGCAGAGGCAAATGCGAAACAGTTCTTCCAAAAGCCACAACCCCAAGATCATCAGTGCGCAACCAATAACTGCTCATAAATACAGCACCCCCTGACGCTTCCTGCACTCCAGACACTATCAACCAAATCGCATTACTATATTAAGAGACTCACCATTACCACAGCTGCCACAAAAACGATATTAAATACCAACCTTAATATAAAACAAACAGTAAATAAGCAAATAAAAGTGCGTAGAGATTTCAAACAAAAAGTATCCAAAAACCACTCGTGTAAAACATTAACGACTTATTGTGTTCAACGTTTACAGAATCGTACCCTCGGAAACCTTTATACCACAGAAGAAATTAAAGCTAAGCAGAGTATTCCACACACACAC